AGCTGAAGCTCCCAGCGCCTTGTCCTCAGCCGGGCATCTGGGATATCCTGCCACGGGAGGGGGGGATGGTTTCACCCCCCAGCTGGTGTCTCTGCTGCTTCCAGGGAAGAAGAGAAGGCAGCTGTGTGGAGACAACCAGCGTGAGGTGAGATATTAGACCCCACTTTGCTTCTCAGATTTATCTGAGGGGGCCTCCAAGCCTGCTGTGAGCACTACGGTGGGGACACTGCAGATGGTGATCTCCCGGCAGCACTTCCAGCCTCTTGGGGATGTAGGGCGGTGTCAGCCCTTGAACAAAGACCATGACCGCCGTGCAGGTTGTTGGTGTGTAGGGGCAATGGTTTGCGAGAGTGGGAGAGATCCATGGAAAGGGCGAGGTAGAGACTGGCTGAGCAAAAGGGTGGAGGGGCAAAGGGAGAATAAATGGGGGTGTGGGTGACTTAGAGGGAGACTGGGGAGAGCTTGATTTGGTGGAATAGGTACGTGCAGAGCTTTTTTCCACCACTGCAAGCATTGTCCAGTTCCTGAGCATGGACCAAAATATCAAACGATCCACAAAAGCGGTAATTTACACCACCAGATGAAAGTGGCTCCCCTTCTGTCTTGGCTCTGGAGCAGGAAAATGGCATTAAGGAGGCAGTGTGGCGGGGGTGCACCTGGCAGTGTCTGACTGCATGCAGAACAAGGGTGGGAGGTGGTTGCAATCAAGAGGCTGAGCATGAGGAGTGGCTTGAGGAAGTGTGTGTGCAGGGGGCTGGAGGGAGAAGGCCAGCCAGTCTGTGGAGTGGAGGAGCAGGAGGCTGGCCAGGCTCTGATCTGGAGGAGCAGGAGGCAGCACTGCCCACAGGTGCATTGCTGGAATATTAGTGAGCACAGCTGCTTTCCAAGCCGTTGACCCAGCTTTGATTCCTGGCCAAGGCAGACAGACGTCTCTTCAGGCTGGCTCCAGGGTGGGTGCCTTACATCTTCTGCAGGCAGGCTCTTGTGCTCAGAAAATGCCCAGCTTTCCCCTGGGGTTTCAAGCCAGTCCCCTTGCCTCCTTGCAGCCTTGAGACCGACTGAGGCCAGTGCTTTCTGCCTGTTGGGAGGGCTCCGGGCTGGGCTCCTCACTGCAGTGCTGGTACAGGAGCCAGGAGGGAGGCTTTTTTTGGCCTGGCACAGAACTGCACCTGCTGCTGCTGCTGGTGGTTGCACCTGGCAAGAAAAGCATGCTGCCATGGCAGGGTGCAGATGAAGATCAATAAT